CTGGCGTATCAGGCGAGCCTGATGAAAAGCCCCCCTGGCCACGGCCGTCACATGATCGTCTAAAGACAGCCGAGCATCCAGGAGGACGCCCAGGTTGCGGGCCCTCTCCGCGGGAGCTAATGACTCGCCCCCGATAGCCAGAGATGGAACCAACTGGCTATGACGTGACGCCGGAAACCACAGCCACTCGGTCTTGGACAGGTTGAGTCGAAGCCTGTTCCTCCCCATCCAGACTCGCACGGCCTCCAGGCAACGGGACATCACTTCCGCGGCGTTACACTACATTTTTTACATGGTGATAACATTCCCAGCCACCATAAAACCAAGCTAGGCCTTATTCTGACATGTGACTTGAACTTACTGCATTTTCTAATCTAAAGGAGAAATAACAATAAAAGATTTAGAAGGGACCTGGGAAGTCTTCTAGTCCAACCCCCTGCTCAAGCAGGAGACCCTATACCATTCCGGACAAGTGGTTGTCCAGACTCTTTTTGAAAGCCTTCAGTGATGGACCACCCACTCACTGCTAGGAAGTTTCTTCTTAATTCCAGGTTGCTCCTCTCCATGATTAGTTCCTATCCATTGCTTCTTGTCTTGCCTTCTGGTGCTTTGGAAAATAGGTTGACCCCCTCTACTTTGTGTCAGCCACATGTCGCTCCTAGTGTTTTTCACTAGACTAGACAAACCCAATTCCTGCAACCGTGCTTCATATGTTTTAGCCTCCAACCCTCTAATTATCTTTGTTGCTCTTTTCTGCACTCTTTCCAGAATCTCTACATCTTTTTTATAATATGGTGACCCAAACTGGATGCAATATTCCAAGTGTGGTCTTAATAAGTCTTTATAAAGCAGTACTAATACTTCATGTTTCATATATTTTTAGCTGTTCAATACTAAGCACTGAAACCCTTTTATTCTAAAGCAGGGGTCTCCAACCTGTGGGCTGTGGCCAACTACTGGGTCATGCCCTATTGGCCACCGTGCTGCATGAGTGGCTGGCCAGTGCGCATGTGCACACAGCCCCACTTAAGCGAGCGTCACCATGGGCGCTCACAGCCCCACTCGCGCAAGGAACAGATGTACATGCACATGTTTACCTCTCCCACAAAGTCATCCGTTCTTTCCCCTCCCCCCCCACTATGGACCACCAACCCCAAGAGGTTGGGGAAGTCTGTTCTAAAGCACTGGGAGAAAGATTAATGGTAGGTTTTGATAAGAATGGTCTTAAAGAGTTGCTGTGCTGATTATGAGGCCAACTTGTAAGTCTTGCCACCAGGAAAGAATTGCTGCTTTCTGTAGGCTACTGTTGAGTAGTTATCGTATCTGCAGTGCAAGCCCTATGTCAGATTCAGCATTCTGTATCTCATATTTTATTGTGCAGCTGAAAAACATCCCACAATACTTCACATATTGCCAGTAAAAGGAATATTGTAGTTATTGCCTATGGCCCCAATTAAACAGTTTCATCCTGCAAGCTTCATCTTTGTTTTTTAGCCTCTTCTAGAGTACATTAGTTAGGAAGGGGGTTAATAATCCATATCATTTCTGTACCCTTTATCTTAAAGGCACCTTGATGCCTCTTCCACTTCCTGCAAATAGTGCTAAATAAATAATTCACTACCCAACAAGGTCATATTAATAATGCAAGCTTAGGGAACTGTTCTCAACACCAAGGACATCTCAAAAGCTCCTCAGAAACAACCTGGATTTTCTCCCTTTGCAATCACAAGCATTTTGTTCACATTCTCAAGATGTCTTCCTCGTGTCATATGGATGAGAGGTTGCAGTCTGTGCGTCCATGCTTTGGAAGAAGACAGGCTGGTGATTGAGCAAAGCTAATAAAAAACCAATTCTACCATGAAGGAGTGGGTCTGGTGAGCTTGGTGTGAACAGCTCAATGATGCTTGTGCTGATGAGATTTTGTTGGCTTGAGATGCTATGCAGAAACAGAACCATCCAGATTCGTTATTGTCAGCAAGAGGACACTTCAACCTCTTGAAACACAGAGGACCACATTCTGTAACACTTTAAAAGTGTTAAAGGAAAGACCTGAGGATGCACCAGTGAGCATAAGATCATTTTGGTGATCTTTTTGATAAAGAGCTTTTTAACCCACTTTTTAAAACTATTAACCTATGAAAATTCAAGCAGTCACTTTCTTAACAGACGTTTAAATAGAAGAATTAGTAAGCATTTTTCCTACCTATGTTTCACAGTTTACAATTATTCATTTCTCTTTCAGGTTTATAAGGCTGCCCAATTCTCTGCAACTCTATTGTTCATTAATGGGCTTAGACTTTACCAGCAGGTGGAGCTATTGGTATATTTTGGTTCAAAGAAGCACTTTAGTTAAAGTGCATCCATCAAGTTTTCCCAGCACAATACTGTAGTATCATAGAATGTTTAGTGCTACTATGTGATATCCTGTGTTGAGTACACAGTAGGGATGAATTTAAATGTACAGATAGTCCTTGACTTACAACCACATTGGACCAGAATTTCCATTGCTGAACAAGGTGGTTATTAAATGTCATGCCCAGTTTTATGACCATTTTTGCCAGTCATTAATTGAATCGCTGCATTTGTTATCTGGGTCGCATGGTCATTAAGTGAATCTGGCACCCTCCCATTGCTTGTTGGAAACTGGTTGGAAAGATTGCAAAAAGTGAATATGTGAATCTGGAACATTGCAAGTGTTATAATAAATACATACCAGTTGCCAAGTGCCTGAATTTTATCATGTGACCATGAGGATATAGTGACAGTCATAAGTGCAAAGACCAGTCATAAGTCACTTTTTCATTGCTGTTGCAACTTTGGTCACTAAACAAGTAGTTGTAAGTCAGGGACCATCAGTAGCTGTCTCAGTTTGCACGTGTTTCTCCAAAAATAAGCCCTAATGCCTCTTGGAGGCAAAAAATATATATAAAACCGGGTCTTATTTTTGGGGAAACACAGTATGAGCACAATGCTTATTTGCCACTGCCCAATGGCAAAGGGACATTTTTAAAAATTGTAGATATTTCCAAAACGATAGAAGACACAATAAAAAAGCAGTTATAAATAACTTGTAAAATTGATAGACAGTAAATTCAGGGCTTCACACAACACATAATGAATGTAATTCATTACCAT